GCAATTCCACTACTTCCGATACAAAGTGAAGCTACTGGAAAGCGTCGATATTTTTGTAAGCTTATGAGAAAAAATTATTATAAACATGTTTATTTAATATGTGGTTTATTTAAGGGCATTCTCAAAGTTGGACTGAGGTGGTTCAGGATAAGAATTCTGTGACGAGTTTTGTTAACACCGTGATAAAATTTCGAATGAGGAAATTCTTGCAACAATCTTAAAATGTATAGACTACTGTGTATTACAGTTCATATTTTTTCTTGTCCATCGTCATATTTTCAACAAACAGAGCACTACGTTGGATCTGGCTAATAATATGGCCCGTTTTTAATCTATATTCGGTGTTCAATGACCGGAATCAGACCTCTCTAGCGGACCCATCTGAGTAGATATCCCCCACCTGAAGACGGAAGCAGATAAAGTTCCCGAAACATGGTGTTCTGTTTGTAGAACAGAGGAATGAATTTCTTGCCAAGCGAGTTATGCCGACTGCTAAGGCGAAGTCGCTGTGTGTTTCAGGTGTTCTTCTTCGTGGCCGCCATCGTGCTGGTTGCCACCGTGTCCGCCGGACCCATGCCAGGACCTTTCCCCCTCCCCGCTAAGGACCTGAAGGGCTCAGAGGCTGTGTACTACTCTGCATATTCTGGCTATCCCTACGCAGCCGCAGTACCAGGTTATGGTTACGCGTACTATGGCTAAAACACCAAGCAGACATGACGGACCGTGGCGTCGGACAATGAACCTCCCAACAGAAAGGCGATATGGATTTGACAACTGTACTTAACTCTGTTTCTCTAATTGCGTGTGAATGATGTTTCCTTTACTGTATTATGTGCCATTTCATCTGTATTAAATCTTTTATATTACCCAGAAAAGTTCTTACTGAAGTCATATTTTCTACGTGAATAAAGTAAAGATGGTCGAAGTTGCGTTCAATTTTTTTTTTTAAAATTTAAAACTACAAGACACAATACCTTAAAACATTATATTTTGTCTTCAGTGAGAAGTTGTACAAGTAAATAAAATACATATTCTATCCCCAGTTTGGTGTATTTCAATATATTAAACATGTACTACTTTGCCTTATCCTAAACATCCGTTTGAAACTAAGAGAACGCAATAGGACAGTTCATTAAACGTACAAGTAAAATATACAAATGGGGAAAGCAAACACAGTTTTAATAGGGTAAATCTCGCGGGATGTTGAGGTTTAAACGGCAGGTATTTCAATTGCTAGTCGAGTAATACGGATACGTTAAAAATACAAAATGCAGGTTTGACCATCCTTTGTAGGGACCCTAATAATTTTCTAGTATGCATATACAGTGGAAGGAAATAAATTATTTCAGCGCTATATAACATGTAAATCTAAATTTATAGTTAAACAGATCATAAAATTACATTACCAATACAATCTCATTCAACATAAGCAAATGAGCATCAAAAATGTCAGGCATGTTGCTTCTTACGATTTCATGCCAGCTCTTTGTAATTTTTCCCTAAAATTATTCTCTTCCTACGCGTGTATGTTCTAATCACTTTTTATATTGTTTCCCATTCTTTGTGCACGCGACTTTGCTTGTTGTTTACGGCTTACGAATATTTTAATAGTAACGGTACCCTTAAACTGAATACTTGTCATCTCAAGGATTTCAACAGTGACATGTCTTAAAAAATTCATTCTGGTAATAAAGACGGTTCTTGGAGAAGTCGTTCCCAGTGCTCAGTGTATTCAACAATTTTTAAATATTCTTCGCTACGGAACTTTCAAAATGTAGCTTCTCTCTCTTTCATACAGAAGTATAGAGTTTTATAAAAGAGGTTTTTCTTGTACAGAATAATATGTATTCAATGATACAGTGTCTATTGCTCGACGTTTTCAGCTGTGCCTCGAACGTATCTGAGGTTATTTTGAACACCCATACCGGAATTTCTAATGCACTGTGTGCTTATTCTGATACATAATGGTTTATTTTATTAAAATGTCTTTAGTTAAATGACTGAATGAATGTTTTTACCTCTCTGGGACATTCTGTATGTGGAATGACCGATTTAGGCGTGCTGAATTTAAATGAACGTGACTTATTAGTACTTGGGCTCCTGTAATGGCATATTTTTTATCACTACAATTAAGAAAAATTCCTGCTACTAGTTAAAACATAAATGTTCCGACTTAAGGACAACCAGTACGTTTTATTGATTTCATATTCCTGTCAGGAACAAGTAATCCGCTCTTTCCGTGTCTGTCAACACAGCAACCGTAAGAAGCACGAATAAGACGGTTGTCAGCAGTAAGAAATGTATTGTCCGATTAAGGTTGTTGTCAAGACAGGCAAAATTCTTAGCGCTAAACAAAGACATTGTGTTTAAAACGTGAAATCTGATCAATATCATCAAAAGCTCAGGCATACTTATTAGTGTTACACTATCACGGCCCTGATGATAGAGGCAGCATGAACCTCTGAAACACTGGACAATTGCTACCAGACGTCGCAGAAGACACCATCTTCTTACCAGTCTCGTTTGACACGCAGGAAGGATGGAAATCGATGGACAATCATGAATTCAGGAATCTGTTTCTGTGCGTACCTTTCTCGGCTAGTTCTACGCAAAATCCTGCTGTAGAATTGGCGTCTTGGACCGCACAGGAGCTGCGTAGTTCACCAACAGATGTCTCTACTTCTTGCCTGATCAGGAGACAAACTCATTGCCCCACGTGAAACGCTGACGCTGACAATGAACACGAGATTAAATACATGTGAACTACGAATAACAACGACCTATCTGCAGTGTTCCCCACGATGCTCCTTAATTTACTTAAGGATGCTGTATAGACATCGCGCCTAAGTTAATGTCAGTGCTAACTAACGACTTGGGTTTTATAGAAATGGACATTTGGTTCCTGTAAATTATTAACTGGGAATGACTACTATTTCTTTGACTGGTTAATGTCACTTCACTAGCTACATAGTTAAAACAAAGCTGGATGGCAGGAAGCGTACAAATAAAAATGAGCTGGAAAAAACGCGTAAGAAATTTGTCGTCTTTAGTCGTTCTTTAAGCGTTAGCATATGAGAAGAACACCTTGTGGGACCGTCCATATGTCTGCCTCGTCTTTCATCACAATGTTGTAATAATAAAATTTGATCTCACTGTTATGGATTTCTTCCTTTGGGGGCACACAAATGACCACGTGCACCGCACACGAATCACTTGTCTGCAAGATTTGAAAAAACTGCATCGTCTATTCTGTGGCAGGAACCACGTCTCAAATGTGTGGCAACGCATTCCGGGCATTTGAATACCGGATCGACATTGTGCGAGCAACAAAGGAAGCTCAGATCGAAGTGCAGTGAAATGGAGAGGTGTGGGGAAAAAACTTTTTGAGTTGCTTTTTTCATTTGGTGAAATTTACTCTCCTAGCTCCGTTTATTTTCTCAATAAAGAGGTTCAAAACATGTTCACTCTTTCTCGGACATCCTGTACTTGCAGACGTCATCGCCCTGACTTAGCGTAAAGAACACCTTCAGAATTTTAGTGTATTCCGAAGAGCACATTTTGAACGCCTTTCTTTTAAGACGCCATCCCAGCATTTATGTGAGGAGACTGGCTGGTCTCCCGGGCCGAGATTCGAAAGAGCGACCTCGAATAATGAATATGGGAGGGCGGGAGTTGTAAGATAAACTGGGAGTTGCCTATTTCAACGTTGCCTGGCGGAGACGCGAATAGCAGTTGCGGTAGTTAAGCAATGTC